GGTTATTTTAATAATTTGCTTTTGTCAAACTTGAGTTTTCAGAAACCATCATTCCATCCAAAAGTGTTGACAATCAGAGATGACAAGAATTTCAAAAGGAAGACCCTTTGGCAAAGGCTTAGAATAGCATGGTACCCCTAAGTGGGATTTAATATTTGTATTTTTTTCCTTCTTTCGTTTTCCCCTAACTTCTTAATTATATTTCATTTATTCATAAAATTGTACTGAGTGTTTTGGGGGACAATGAAAAATTGTCAAAGGGTGCAGTAAATCCTTCGAATCAATAGGCCTACCCTAGGCATAAAAGGGTCACATATTTGTATAGGACGCGCAATAATTGTTTGTATTCTAACAACAGTATTTATTTGTTTTACTCATTATTTGTGTGATATTTTGCATTATCCATTATGTACATGAACTAACAACTGTTACATTTTGAGTTATTCTTCTTTACAGCGAAAAATTGATTTATGTTCAAATTCTGAAATCATTATTTGTCCGAATTCGCAAGAGACAAGAGGATTAGTAAAATTAGAGTCCTTGCATTTCTCAATTATATCAAGTGAAAACGATAAATCAGGGGAGTATGTGACTATGAGGTCACACCCACTTATTTTTATAATTATTTTGCATGATTGTCCTATTCTCACATATTACTCATATTTTTGTAGGGATACAGTCCCCGACATCACTAGGGGATGGTCGTATTGATGTCCGGATCTCGTGAAAATTGGGAACAGACATGGATCCAAGAAAACATTCGAAAAGAGTACAACAAGTCATTACGGTAGAAATTTGTATGGTAAATTCAACAGACAGTATAAATATTGACGATTAAGAGGCTATAAAACATATTGGTACGAAACAATAAAAAGTGTAAAAAAAAAACTTCATGACTAATAATTTTTAGTGGCGCTAGACCTATGAATTTCTTTGAGTTTTCAAAATCATTAAATTATTATATGTCTTATCTGCACGAACTACGCGTACCTGATTCTCATTTCAATGAGATACTTATGCAACCCTTCTTCGCTTCAATATTAGTTTGTGCATATTTTCCAAGTCATATTTGGACGAACAACGCGTACCTGATTCTCATTTAATGAGATATGTAGGCAACCCTTCTTGGGTTCGGTATTATTTTCTCCACAAATAAAATAATAAAAATATTTAAAATCGTTTGTGCATATTATCCAAGTCATATATGCGTGAACTACGCACAACTGATTCTCATCTTAATGAGATATGTAGGCAACCCTTCTTGGATTCGGTATTATATTCTCAAAAAAAAAACTTAGAAAATAGTTTGTACATATTTTTCAAGTCATATCTGCATGAACTAAGTCTACCTGATTCTCATCCTAATGAGATACATAGGCAGCCCTTCTCAGGTTAGGTAATTTTTCTTTAAAATAAAAAATAAAAAAATGTACATATTGTAAGAGTCATGTCTTCAACTTTGTCGGGACCTATGAAGTTAAGAGCATGTAAATATATTCGATATGATGGAGAAGAGTGACTTTGCGGTAAACTATAAATTCTCGTGGTACTTTTATCTGTACTTTTGTGATGCTTGAAAATTCTCTTGCATGCAATCAAGATAAGAATAAAACTAACCTTATGTTTCATGTGCATTGTGTGGTAAGATTTTTATCAAAGTTCAATTGTCTTACATTGTTGATCTAGAACTTGACTTTAATGTTATTCGAGGTGAAATTATGAATAATGTTTTGTTTGAGAAATGATTGTAGGCCTTTTTTGATCCGATTGTGCCTTTCCAAGCCTACCATATTACATTAATCCCTAGTTTTACCATTTTGAGCCTGAAACCTTTATTTGGACAACCACATCTTAACCACTACCCTTTTTGAGTGCTTACAAGCACTATCCTCTCTTGGCCCAACCTTCTTGATTGCACCTAGAATGTGAAAATTATAAGAGGAAATTCATGTTTGAAATTTCCAAAAGCAAAGAGTTTGAGTCATCCAAATAAAAGAAGCAAAGACCTCTAGAGAAAAGAGAGAAAGGAAGAAAGAAAAGTGGAAGAAATAAAGAAAGGTAAAAAATACCCTTACAGGTTCATTGAAAGGTGGGAAGCAAAATACTCCAACAAAAAAAATTATTATAATATAGAAGTTAATAAAAGAAAATCTCCAACAAATAAGGACTCAAAAGAAGAAGAAAAAAAGAGAAGAAGAGAAAAGGTTAAAAAAAAGATCTAAAAAAGCGTTAAAAATGAGAATTCAAAAGAAGATGAAAGGTGAGAGAACAATGAAGAGGATCTGACGTCAAAGGGGTACCAATTATTAAGAGCACAAATTCTGTGTAACGCATATGGAGGAATTAAGTCACTTTTATCTAAAATAAATATCCTATACATTCCTAAGCCTACGTTACAAGACAATGGCAAGCCCTACATGATCTTGTTTCAAATGTTCTGACACTAGTGGAGATTTACATAAGGGTCAAGCTTATGGTATCACAGTTGTGTGCATTGAACATTCTTGTGAGTGTGAGTGCACTTTGAATAATGTCCTATAATAAAATGTTTCAAATATGTGTGAAATAGGACTAGCCTTTGTCGTGTGGGCACTTGAAACATGAGGATTGATATAATTCAAAACCTTTGTTTGAAACAAGATGAACAGATCGTGTTGATCCTGAAGTATATTTTAGCTACAACCTTAAGCTGTAGGAATTACCTTAATTCAATCTTTAAAAAAAAAGATTTACCAGCAATCCTAACTTTTTGTACCAATCGTGGTTAATATTTGACTATCTCATCACATTTATTTTTGAAAAAAAAATTGCCTTTTGAGCTGTTCGTTATAAAAAGTGTTATTAAGTTAGTCTTATATGTGTGGGACGCCTATTTTACTTTATTGGATTGTCCATCCCAAAAATGTGATATATCTTGTTGTTAGGATTTAAATATAGCAAGGAATATCATATTCATATTTCATCATGTCCATATTGCATTTTCTACTGATAATATTTCAGATTCTTTGTAGCACTGATCATCCATAAGATTGGAACTACATTTGACCTGATTCCTGCCTCGAGAGGATATGTAGGCACCACGGCGGCTCGGTCATATACCAAGTGTAATTATTACTTCTCCTTACAATAAAAAGTAGGACAATGTTTTTGAAAATATTTCAAAAAATCATAGTAAAGATAGCCAACAAGTCAATATTGAAGATCATTTTGAGATTTGCTAAAATTCTAACTGGGAAAGAATTTTGAGGAAGACCTCAAAATTTTTATAAGTGCTGCGAGAAGCTTGATAGCAACTAAAATTATCATGCATCACTAGATAATATTCATGCATCATGAGTTAATTCATGTATCACTAGTTAATATTCATGCATCGCGAGTTAATTCATGCATCACTAGTTAATATTCATGCATCACGAGTTAATTCATGCATCACTAGTTAATATTAATGCATCGAGAGTCAATTCATTCATTGCGAGTTAATATTCATGCATCACAGAATAATATTCATGCATCGCGGATTAATATTCATGCATCGCTAGTTAATATTCATGCATCGCGAGAAGATTTCATACCTCACAGAAAATTCATACATCGCGAGAAGATTTCATACCTCGGACAAATGTATGCATTGCAAGAAGATTTCGTACCTTGCGGTACTTATACATTGTGGGAAGATATTTATGCCCTGCAGAAGATCATGTATCGAGAGTCAATAATCATGCACCGCAAGAAGATATTCATTCCTCGCAGATAGTTATGAATTGTGAGAAGATATTCATACCTCACAGAAAATTCATGCATCACAAGTAAATTCATGCATCACTAGTTAATTCAGGCATTACTGGTTAATTTATGCATCGCGAGTCAATACTCATGCATAGCAAAAGATCATGCATCGCTAAATAATATTCATGCATCACGAGTTAATATTCATGCAGTTAGAATTAGTATTCATGCATTGTGGATTAATAATATTCATGCATCGCGAGTTAATTCATGCACTAGTTAATATTAATGCATCACAAGTTAATATTTAAGCATCGCGAGAAGATTTCACCCCTCTCAAAATTTTATGCATCGCGAGAAGATTCAAATCCTCGCAAAAGTTTACATGTCGCAAGAAGATTTCATACCTTGCGACTTTATGCATCAAGAAAAGATTCCATCCCTCGCAAAATTGACGCATCACGGGAAGATATTCATGCCCTGCAAGCAATCATGCACTGCCAGAAAAGGAATTGTGCAAATGAAATATTTATCCCTCAATGTAAATTGTTGTTAAATATCGAGGAGAGAAATTAAGTGTCGACACGGTGAAAGACACTGTCTCTCATTTAAATAGCATTTTTAAGTTAACGAGTTTTGTCTTAGTCTTTGTCGAGATCATTCAAAAGGATGAATTTTTTTTAAAAAAAAAACTTGTGTAAACTAGTTCAACAAGGATGCACCACATCATAGAACCATTTGGAGAAAAGTCTAGGATTTACTTCCACCACATGCAACCACACTTCTCTACAATGGTCATGTGTTCGGTCAAAATTGGGTTCGTCAATTTTCGTTATCCACGATTTCTTTCATCAATCATACACAACGAAAGTGACAGCTGTTGACACTCAATTTTAGCCTAACATTTTTGAAATTCGTAATTTTGATGTCTTATTTATTTAAAAGCATAAAATAATTTTGATAATATAGTTTAAGGAAGGTTATCGATAACTATCTTCATTTTATCAAAATTTAAGATTTTTGTTAGTTATTTTATAAAAATTGCATTTCACATGTCATTAGTTACGGTCATTATATTATTTTAAAAATTTTTTATTTGTTACATTTTTTAATATTTATGTGAATTTCGCACAGTCTAAAATTTAGTCAAATACAAAAAAAATAAGGAATTTTACTGAAATAATTTTGGGCCACAATACTAAGCCCATTACTTAGGCCCATAATTTTTTGGTGTGGATAATATTTTTAGGATAGAGGACGAAAACTTTGAAGAAAATGAGAGAACCCTAAAAAGGCCATTCCCTCTTCCTCTCCCTCTCAAAAATCAGCCGCCTCCTCCAAACACCCCCAACTGACGCCTCCCCTCTCCTCTCTTCCTCCCAGCCACCTCTTTCTCTCCACCCGCCTTTCTCCCTTCTCTCTCCCCTTCCTCTCACTCTTCCTCAGCCTCCCTCTTCTCTTTCCCCAGCGCCACTCTCCCGAAAAATGTCTTCCATAAAGCCTAAGCCGACTTCGTTAACTGGCGGGGCTCTGGCATGTCCGTTATGGAAATGACCAACCGTGGAAAAGAATTCCTTTCCATTATTCAAAAAGAAAAATCAGATCTGAGAACCCTTCTTAGTATCTCTGATGAATACGCCATTCTTTTCCTTCAAGGTGGGGCAACAACCTGAGCGGCCATTGGCCTCTGTAACTGTTATTTCTGCAGTTTGTGTGTTTCTCTCTAAGGTATCGGTTGTTCCCTCTGCCGCCGCACTTGTCATCAAGGCGTTGAAGGAGCCGGAACGTGACAGGAAGAAGACTAAGAACATCAAGCATAACGGTAACATCTCACTTGATGTCGTCATTGAAATTGCTAAGGTGATGCAGCCTAGATCTATGGTGAAGGATTTGAGTGAAATCGTTAAGGAGATCTTGGGAACTTGTGTATTTGTTGGTTTTACGGTAGATGGAAAGGATCCTAAGTATTTGCAACAAGATATTATTGATGGAGATGAGGAGATTCCTCAGGATTGATTGCTGATTGATGGTATAAGGGTGAATTATGAACTGATTATTCCATTGATGGACGTATCCAGTTTACGATGAGTTCCAACACCGATGAACAACAATCAAAACTCCAATCGTAAACTCCAATTGCAACAATGGTAAACTCAAATCTCTTACTTTAATTTTATTAAATTTTGCTTAGTGTCTCCTATTTTGTATCATTATTACTGTTCTTTGAAATTTTGTTTGCTTAATCTGTTACTTTTTTTGTCAAATTTTGTTCATTGATTTTTTTGTATTTTTTTTTAAATGCTTTTTTATGTAATTGTTCATGAGGTGTTTATTTCCATTTATGGTACTGCTTTAGTTTTATTTTTGATTAGGTTTATTATTGATTATTATATTCATTTGCAACTAGATGCATCATTTCTTGAAGTTGCTGATTTATTATATATTTATTATTGTTATGCTTTTGTTTTCTTTAGTTTATTATTAATGTCATATTATTATATAATCATTATATCTTCTTAAGATTATTAGTGTTATTATTCTTGTTAGCTTTGTTATTGTTGTTGAAATTCTTTTATTATTATTATTATTTTTATCTTTCTCATTATAGGATAGTATTTTTCTATTCCTATTATTGTTCTAAGAAGTTTCAGCAATTACTTGCTATAATTTAAATTAGTATTGTTATTATCTTGTTATGTTTATGTTTTTTTTAACTATTCTAGGTTACTTCAATATTGATTTCATGCTGAAAATTTTTATTTGTGAAATTGGCCTATGAAAATCTATCTGTCGGGTTTAGAGGCCTTTTCCATTTTAAAAGACGGAAATTTTTAGTTAAAGTTCATAAAAATTGTTTGTTAAAATTGTTAAAATGGCCAATGAAAAATCTATCCGTCGGGTTTAGAGGCCTTTTCCATTTTAAAAGACGAAATTTTTTTAGTTTTTATTCATATAATTTATTTGTTGAATTGTTAAAATGGCCAATGAAAAATCTATACGTCATGTTTAGAGACCTCCCCATTTTAAAAAGATGGAATTTCAATTTAAGTTTATATATTTTGTATGTTGAAATTGACCAATGAAAAAAAAATTCTCTATCGGTTTTGGAGGCCTCCCAAATATTAAATGACGGAAATCTAATTTAAGTTTACATATAGTTTTAGTTGTTGGAATTGGCAGATGAATAAATGACCATTCATTTACAAGGCTTCCCATGGTTAGAAGACTGATTTTTATTTTAAAATTATTATTAGGTTATTTAATTTTAATCATATTTATTCTTTACTAACACTTTTATTGAGTGTGCTTACAAGTACCCTAAACATGCTTCCTTGAAGCCATTCTAAAAGGCCCGAATTATATTTTTATGTCATTATTATGTGAATATTGACGTTAGGTAAACTTTATGCCGATAATTAATTTATTTTATTTTATCGTGTATATTGCATGTTTATTATATTTGTACATTATTTTATTCTCCTCCTCAAATTGGGAAAAAATGAATTCAGTCAGACACCACAATTGTGGATTTAGAAGGATGCCTAACCTCTTCCCTTCTGAATAACTTGAACCACTTACCTAGAATCAAATTGGCTTCTTAGACATTTCTCTCAAGTTAATCAATAATTGGTTTCCTAGTTTTCCTAAACATTAGGCAGCGATCCCTTTCCCTTTTCCATATCCTTTTTCTCATTTTAAAATTTTTCTCACTTTAACTTTTATTTATTTTGAGTCACCGCGACGTATCGCCCTATTTCGACAGAGTAGGGATGTAAAAACATGCCAAGAACCAAAATTTTATGAAAAGAATTCCAAACATCATTTAAAGAATTCTCCAAGTATAACATAGGAGCTACAAAATTGTTAGGTCTATTAATATTACAACTTCTTGCGACACCACCTATATCACAGTCACCATCACCCATTCTAAATCTGTATAAAATGATATCTAGTTAAATGTAAAAAAGAAAAATGAGATTATAAGATAAAATAATGATGTTTTCTGCAAAACTTAGGGAGAGAAAAAATGATCCAAAGAGGAAGTTTTCCAATGCATGAAGTAGATGATCAAATAAAAAATAAGTGGGTATGACATTATAACTCAAAGATTGGGATCAACAAAAGTGAACTACCTTCAAAAATATATAGAGAAAATTGAATGGCTATCTACCTACCCGGTGCATCCACATTTACTTTACAGGTAATACAAAATAAATAATTTTTTCTATTTTATAGTGAGTGGTATTAGCAACAAAAGAGAAGTCAAAGATTATAACGTGTACCTTTTGTTTAATTCATACATCCCATATCATATTGTAATGACTCGAGAGCACCCCCTAATAGTAACATGGCATATTCAATCTCGAAGAGATGTTATACAAGCACTTAGCATTCATTCATCACATAATCATTAAAAAAAATGGAAGAATTTAAAAAGTTTCTTTAAAACATAACTCGAATAGTATTGGATAAAAGTGTAAGTCATTTTACATTAGTTTCAAACCATCTATTAATGACATGGATAAAAGTCATGGGACGCAGCCCACATAAAGTCTAAAACACAAAAGAAGATGACATAAAGGTAAATGGATATTATCTCTTAATCAATGAAAATGATCCAAAGAGGATGTTTTCTAAAAATGATCCAAATATGAGAACATCTATTTACCTTTATGAAATTACCTTTTATGTTTTAGACTTTATGAGTGCTTCGTCCAAAACTTTTAATCATATCATTCATAGATTGTTTGACACAATAATGTTAGAAAGACTTCCGCTTTTGTGAAATACTTCTCGAGTTATGTTTTAAGGAAAGTTTTAAATTCATATATTTTTTCTAATGCCTATGTGATGAATGAATGCTAATGGATTGTATAAGATCTCTTGGAGATCAAATACACCATGTTATGACTAGAGAGTGTTCTCAAGTCATTACAATATGATATGAGATGTATGATCTTTATCAAAACGTACACGTTATAATCTTATACTTCTCTTTTGTTGCTAATCCCATTAGCTCTAAAATAGAAAAAAATATTTATTGTGCATTAGTGTAAAGTAAATGTGGATGCGCAAGGGTAGGTAGTTAGGCCCTTAATTTTCTCTGTATATTTTCAAAATTGGTTCACTTTTCATCATTGCAACCTTTGATTTATAATGTCATTCCCACTAAACGTTTATTTAATATTCGACTTCCTCCTTTAGAAAACCTCCTCTTTGGATCATATTTTGTCTCTCTAGTTTAGCAGAAAACATAATTAGTTTCTCTTATAAGATCATTTTTTTATGTTCAAGTAGATGTCATTTTATATATATATTAATTGGTGATTATGTTTGGGATATCTGTGCGATTGGAAAAAGTTGTAATATTATTAAACCTAACAATGTTGTAGCTCCTATGTTATACTTGGAGACTTCTTTAAATGATGTTTTGAATTCTTTTGATAAACTTTTTGCTCCTGACATGACTAATTTTAATAATTTATCATAACTTTCTCATTTGATTTTCAAACTGTTCATCCGGAAAAACCAGATGATAAGGTTAAAATCATGAACCGAAATGGTAACCAATAGTTGTACTTACATCCCATTCATCTAACTCAACTTATCCAACTAACAACTACAACACCAAAAGAATGGATTGATTTACAACAAGTCGATATAGGGGCAAAAAATTATCCTAATTTCATGTTTTCCATGGAGACTCCTGTGATTCAAACTAGAACAAAGTAACAATTCCCTATGTTAAATTTTATGTGTGTGTTCGAAAATTTTGATTTTAGTAGTTTTGATTTGAAATAAGTAAAAATCATTCAATAAGGATTACACATGAATTATTGCAAGAGGAACATGATGAGACCGAATTTTGAAGTATAACTTAAAGCTTTGTCAAAATACATTAAGGTCTGACTATGGGAGTTAGTAGTAACAGACATAACCACCACATGAGCTATCCGTGATGTCAGATCCATAGACCATACTGAAGAAATCTATATACCTTGCCAAGGGTATAAAGGTGTATATGGTGTGATCACTAAAATTAATGCCCATAGTTAGGACTTAGCCTACGGGGGTACGTTGTTCTGGGACTGTGAGGGTACACTGAAACCTTGTCCACTTGATTCTTAGCGAACTCCAAACTTAATATGTCTATCGATCACACATAACTAAAATGCATAATAGCTAAAAATACTAACATAAAATTTTGAGAATATAACAAAGATAGACTGATAATGTAACATTCGAAAATCGATTCATGTATAATTATTTAACTGACCTACCATTTGTCATTCATGAACTTAAAGAATCTACACAACTTGGATTCTGAGGTTCATGCAAAGAATTAATCAAAGATTCCACAAAAACATTATAATCTAATTAGGAATACATAGCTAAATCACAACTAATATCTAAGGTTTTACAATTTCTAGGATTAAGAAAGATGCATGAAACAAGAATCTGACTGAATTTGAAAGACCTAATAGGTCAAAGGAACGCAGTACAGAAATCCCACATACCTAGTGACGAAATATGAGGAGAAATCCTTTGATTTTGAGACTGGAACTGAAGAGAATGTGTTGCGTTCTTGGAAGGGTTTTGGTCGCCTATTTTCTCCTCTCTTTTTTCTATGTTTGATGAATTTTTAATGAATGAATCACTTAGGGAAATATTTTACTAAGTTACTAGGCTTAAAATGACAAAAACTACTTAATCTAGTGATGAAACGACGTAGTTTAAGGCCTAACACATAGGGGGTGGACCAAAATGACTTTAACATAATTCTAACGAAGTCCACCTACGGAGGGAACTACAATAAGTGGGTGTACCTACCAATAGTAGGTAGGGTTTTTCGGTCAAGTCTGTCTGACAGGGCTTCACTAAAATGATCTCAACTTTTTACTTGAAGATGGGAACACTTACACAACTACCTCTCTCTTGGGAGAAAACCGATATTTTTTTTTCTTGATGAACTTCTAGTTGTACACATTTATTATCTTGTTTTTCCTTAACTTTTATTACCAATGAGGATTCTGATCTATTCTATATTATTAAACCACCATCTTGTATATTCATAATATTAACTCCTAAGCAAGCAAGTTAATGACATGTTTTTTGGATTTCTTCCATACTTCCTTAACATGTGTTATGCTAAGACTGACTTGTTAGAAACAAAAATCGAATGATCCTTGTTTTACAATTGACCGAGGAATAATAGGAATGTAACCAATCCATGCCTAGAGTGCTATTAAAATCTATAATTTCTAACTCTAAAGATCTGATGAGGTGACTTTTTGCAAGACTGTGACAGGGAAATTTTTTATATATATGTCTAGCTATAAAAGGGGTAAAGGTCAACGATTGCTAGACTAACATCAGAGTTTATTGTTATGCATAGTGTAAGACAAAATGGCACATGTTTTATTTCCTCTGAGTGAACCATATGTGTGCCACATCCTTAACCTAGCAGG